AAAAGTAAACAGTTTAAGGATTTTATACAAGAATAATATTTCATTAACATTTTTAAAAAGTAGAAAATCCTAAATGTGTAACTTAAAGAAGTTATGTTTTTATTTTCAGACATAATTTCTTCTCTTTCAAGAGAATTCCATTAGAAGCATCGAAATTAGATTTCAAAAATTCATTTGTTGCATGCATACATTTAAATTGTAACAATAATAATGAGTCGTATAACTGGAAGTTACATGAAAAAGAAACAAAATTTTACTAATGCTTAATTGAGTAAAATAAAAATGCATCGCTTTCCCACCTTTTTAATATGGAGTTACTATTTCGCATAAAATCCAAAAACTGCGTATTCAAATTATGAAAAAATAAGACATATATTAAGGATTATACAATTCAATGGAAATGAGCAAATACATATATTAATATACACATTCAGTACCAAAAAAAACCATCTTTTTCTTCTGAAAAATTCTCGGTTAAAATGTATATTAATTGATGAATAAACATTCTTGAAAAATATCATTAAATAAAGAAATACTGGTTTGAAATTATAAGAGTCACAGAGGCATTTTTTTAAATGAATTTAGTTAACAATTAACGAAGAAGTGAAAATTACTTCCTTTCGATTTACAAAAGCTCAAATGATGTTAGAAAAATATCTATTATTAAAATTAAATCAAATATAATACTTGAAATATAAAATAAAATTAAAAAACTGTAAAAAAAAAATCATTTGAAGAAATTTTCAGTATAAAAATTCACATTTCATGGAAATCTTGCACATCTCAAAATGAAGCTCAAATTCAATACCAGAACAAGCTTTAATTTTTCCCCCTAGTTTGTCCCACCGTCTCACGAAGAAAATGATCAATCATCAAGTAAGCATAAATATTCAAATATTTAAAAATTGATCGTATAAATTATTAATTTTTCAAAAATTTCTACGGAAAAATAAAATTAAAATTTTTTACTTATTATTTTGTGTTTTTTCTGTTCAGCAAATACTTTGCAACTTGACTTTTAAATTAAAACCAAAATCAATTTCAGAAAAATCAACTCAGGCTTACGTACGAAGTATAAATTTCATATTGGAAAAAATTGAATTTAACCTAAATAACAGCTTGACCGTTAAAAAAAATCGAAACAAAACAATGTCTATTTTTAATGTTGACAAAAATAAAGTCCTTCCTTATAAGGATGCCTTTTTGTTATTGTTTTTGGTTCTAAAGACAAAACGGAAACCGAAAAATTCGCGATTCGATAAGTTTAGCAAAGCGTAATGCGAGTTTTCCATATTTGCGTTAAAGAGCGTAGAGAGAAAACGTAGGAAATAACCACACCAATGCAATTCATTGAGAAGGAGATGAAAGTTACATCTTCCGGTTTTAGAAACTTGGAATTCCCGGTAGAGAGGATCCTCATAAGCAACGTCGGTTGCGCCATCTCTGATGCGCGTTCAAACTTTATTCCCTCGCTCTCTCTCTCAACCTCGCGCACTCATCTATTTCTTTTAAATACCGGCCGGTCCAAGAGTAATTCATGATTCGTCGACTTTCCAGCATTACTTACAGTTTAATCCAACGCTTCCATCCTATGTGAAAGAGTGACAAAACCGAACTTGGATTTAAGTGGTTTGTGCGTTCATTGCTCGAACAAAAAAGAGCGCGTGTTTTAAGTTTTGTTTCCAAACTTGCTCGTGTCGAGAGATTTTACCTAATCTACGATCAAGTATTTTTGTGATTTGTGACTCTATTATATCAAAACATGTTATCAACGATGCATTTCCTTCATTCGTCAATTTTAATATTGATATTTTTTCTGTTGGTGAACTGTAACGGCAGAGCCATAATAAGAGACGTATCTTCAAATTTAACTGCCAGAGTTAAAGCAGAGGAACATTTCAGGATGATTGAAAAGCGTGTTTGCAACTCTCCTGTTCCAAAACTATTTCCAGTGGATGATGCTTACCCTATAATGGATGGAAATTACAAGCCTCACTGTGTTGAATTACACAGATGTGACAATGATGCTGGTTGCTGTAAAAGCGATACTGAAATCTGTGCTCCAAAAGCAGTGGAGAGCGTATATCTATATATCAGCGTTACAGGACTATTCGAAACGAAAGTTTTGTTGATGCCTTTTACGAATCATACAGAATGTGAATGCAAACCCCTTCATGAAGTGATATCAGATTGGAGGTAATCAATTTTCCTTTGAAATGTACCAAAAATAATTAAAAGAACTTGCCATAAGTTATGCCTTCGAAAGATTTATTTGCCTTTGGACAATCATGAACACTCAGGGTGAACCTGTATGAAGAGAAGTAAATTTAACTTTTGTGAATACCTCTTGAACAGTTCAACATTGAAATACACCATTCAGAGCATGCTGCAATTCTTCACAATGTTTCATCTATTTTGTGCCCAGTACGAACTTATGAATGTCTTTAAAACCAGTGCTAAAATTGTTTCGGCTTTAGAGAGTTTGAAGAAATAGCTCATCAAAAAATATCTTTCAAAAAACTGATGTACGTACTGAAATTCATTTTAATATTGGTTGTATCATTTTATCGTGCCATTTCTTATTCAGAATGTCATCTATATGTAAGGTTGGTAACAGTGTTCATTTACTTCCAAAAACTTTGTATCTATTTAAAAAATCTTATATTTTAAAATGGGCGGCTATTTTAAATGTGGACCATAATGTTGCAGGAAAGTGGTAATTATAAAACATTTTCATATTTAAGGATTAATTGGCTGTTCTTACAGTTTGATAACAATTTAATTATAAATTTATGAAATGATTTGCAGTTGCTTAACTATTTATTGCATGTTTCATTGTTCATGTTATATGATATACATATATTAATTAGTGATTATATTATTTACTCCATCTAAAAAATACTACTTTCATAAAATGTAATGTCATTGACTTTGTAATTTTATGATGCATAAATTAATTTAAATAAGCACTTGATGGAAAAATCACTCATCAAAATTTTAATAAGACGGTTTCTCTTCTTTTTTAGAAAAAAAAGAGCTTTTGTAAATAATGTTATTTGTTATATTTATTTTTTTACCTTTACACTTTCATGTGAATTGTATTTATGACTTCTGTTTAAATCACTATTTATACAGCATTACTTTTTTTTTAAATAAATGTCATTGTTTTTCAAATTATAAACCTTGTCGTTAAAAATTATATAAATCAACACACTGTGGGAATACCCCAAGAAAGTTTTGGATATATTTTCAAATTCCACGAGGAAGTCATTCTTAAATTCTGACAGAAAGCCCTTAAAAGTATTTCAAAATTTTTCATAAGTCTTACTTTATTTTGTGTGTATCTGATTATTTATCAAAAATAATTTAAACCAAATAAATATAATAAAGCAAAATGATCCCAGAGTAAACAAAATATAACAAGAAATCTGATAGAATGATTAGATATAAAATAAAAAGAAATTGAACTTTCCAAATCGATCGGAAGATTTCTTTTTCTTTTATCTTTAATATATCTTTAATAAAAATAAACAATCCATATACGGACAAAAGAATATCGTTGAGGAGGTATTCAGATAGCTAAAAAATTAGAGCGACTCTTTCCAAAATGTATAATGATTTAGTATAGAATATCTTTAAAAATCAAGTGTTGAAACATTCCATAAAATCCAAGAGTAAATATTTAGTCCAGTCTAGAAATAAAACCTTAAGATGAAGTTGTAAGCACAAACCACGAAATATTCTGAGAAAATCAAAATTCAACAATTGGCTTTTAAAGAATATCTTAGTTAAACCCTAATTCCCATCTAAATATATGTATGTGTGTGATTTTGAAAATTTCTAGAAATTAATATCAAATTTAGTCTGTTAAAATATATAGTTAAGTTTTCAAAACTTTAAAAAACGCAGTGTATTTTTTCATTATTAAATATGCCTTTTCACGGGTATAGTGGTTAATGACGCTGATTGTTGTATCATAGGGCCTGGGTTAGAACCCGAAGAAGGCATGGATGTTTGTAAATGTTTAGTGTCTTTGCGGCATGGAGGGGGGGGGGACTCTAAATAGCCGTGGAGAAGCAAGACCTTTCGTGAGGTTGGTGGAAGAGGAAGAGAGGTGGGAGACCCCTGACCACCTCCAGGTAATTCTCCCTCAAAACTGGGGGAACCTAGCCAAGTCGTACTATCATTTACATGGTGCTCAAAGCTACTGCTAAAGACAGGCACAAAAATCTAGCCCTTTGCCCAGATAAATTTCGTGGGCCTGGATCTGACACCGTTAATCAGATGGCATTAGTAACAACATCATTTATACAATTTTAATAAAAACATCCTTATCTGTATTCAAATTTCTCATAACAGTATTAACGTTTATCAGGCAGCAGCTTTTTATGCATATCTTTTTTAATATCATTATGTGTTACTATCGAATACCACTTTAAAATAGCGATTCTGGTTTTAAAATGAATTGATGTTTTGAAAACTTCACAGATTTTTCACAAAATTATGCTAAAGTTTAATTAGCTTACCTCATCAAAACATTTGAATAACACCGTTTACTTTTAATGATTATATATATATATACATTTTTATATCTTAAAATATATATTTTTAAAATAAAAAATAGATTACATTTCACCAAATATTTGATAAAAGCATATATACATGAAACATGTTACCCTTAATTATGAATATAAAGAAAATTATAGCTAACAAGTAATATAAAAAAAATTCAGACAATTCCTACTTAGGTCAACAAAAAAAATTTTTATTTTAGTTACTTTTTTTAATAGTTACAATTAATATATAAATATGTATATACATATGAAAGAATCACAATATTAAGTGACAAAATAGAAAACGATTTTCCTTGCAATATTTTCCATTTTCCTTTCTATATATGGTGTTGGACTATTTTTCTCTCTGCTACTATTCATTCATTAATTTAATTATTCTAATAAAATAGTATAGTAAAAAAGAAATCACATTCTCAGAAATTAGGCAATCTCAGGTGGGATTCGAACCCACGACCTTTGGATTAGAAGTCCAACGCAGGGACACAACGAGCGATTTTCCTTTCTATATATGCTGTTGGATTATTATTTTTGTTAATTCTTTTTCATTTTTAAATTTCATTGAAGAATTAATATTTGAAAAAACTGTTTTAACATCAAGTGTCATCCACTACAAATTTTAAAAAATGTATTTGAACTTGAATGGATTTTATAGAAACTATTTTATTAACGATTGAAAATTTGAACAAGATAGATATATATATAGGGAGAAAGTGAACTAATAGTAGGAATTGAAAATGTAACTTAAATAAAATGTTTCTTTGTTGACGTAAGTATGAATTCACTTAAGCAATTTTTTTATATTACTTGTTTACTTTCTGATCATATCAACTCTTTATTAATAAATATAAAAGGAAGAGTGAACTAATAATAGGAATTGAAAAATGAGTTGTAAATTTAGATTTATTAAAATAGTTTGCTAATGAATCTGAAGAGATGTAACACATCTTACTGAACACAAGACTTACAATAATAGTACCACATTCTCATTTAATTTGAAGGATTCAACTATCCACAGCTGTAACATTTCATTTCCGAGATTCGTATTTCTCTCATCTGGTACAAGAATCTTGAATTACGTTTATTTCAATAAGTATGCATTTCTTCATAATGAAATATATTTTCATTTCTTCCAAGTCCCGAGAAGATAATTTCGATCAACGAAGTTGTAACACTTCTTACGGTATCCGCGACTGCTTGAGATTACTTTAAAAAAAATACAGATATGGGGATTTTTTTTGTGGTTTTTAGATTTGTTTAATACATTTAAAGAAAAATATGCTAAAATTCAGAAGGTAAGAAATTATTATTTCTAAAATGGGGGGGAAATGCTAAAAATTTACAAAAAATTGCATAAACGGGACCCATTTTGTACCAAAAATTTAAGAACAAATTTTCAATTTTGATGGTTTGCTTTGCTATTCATTTTTGAAATGACCTTCAGGATAAGAGATATTTTAATTTTCAATAAAACTAGACCCTTTATCTTAGTTATTATATATAATTGCTTAAGAAAAAACAGTGATTATATTCACATACGCGACTGTAAATTTTGCAATAAAACAGTGATTGATAAAACTGACGTTTCAAACACTTCTACTATTATACAGAACATACACAAAAAAAATCAGTTAATTATTTTCAAAACATTTTGAACAGTCGCTGGCCCCGTTTGAGCATTTTCAAAACAACACATTTCGAGTAAAACGTGTTTTAAAATATTACATCTTGCTTAAAGTAATGGCATCTGCTTTTACTAAAACACTCGTAATGTTTGTTCTAGGAAACGGAAAATAATGAATTTGGTATTTTTATAAAGCTAATAAGATGTCTCATTAAATGAAATCATAAGAAAATTTTCAATTTTTGGCAAAATTCACAATTTTAGGTAGTCAGATACCTTAAGACAAAAATAAATTAATAGCAAAATATAACAGAATTTTTTTCTCCCAAACGAATTTTTGTGCAAAAAATATTTTTTTAAGCTTGTCTCAGGAAAATAGTAGTAATAATGTATTATTGTATTGTTTTTTTCTCTATAATGTAATGTATTAGCATAAAATGTTACCTTCAGCGTTAATGAGTGCTCAAGTACTCATTCATGTTGCACTTGGAAGTTGCACCAAGGCTAACGGCTACGGACCTCATAATTTTGAGTTGCAGTCGAGAAAGCCACTTGTGCTGGCATCCCTCTCTAAGCTTCCACACCACGCCAACGTGAGAATTCGGGGCATATATAGATTTAACGTGCATCAGCCCCTTGCACTCGGCAGGTCTTTAGTGGCATCAGGACTAGAGATGTAACACAAGGCCGATCATGATTTCACGACCATGTAGTTTACAGCGCCCACAGTAACTTCAGCATAACAAATATGCAAATATTAATAAGAAATTCTGTCCAGAATTTGAAATAGAAAAAAAAAAACAAATCCAGAATCTGTTAGATTTTTATAGTTAAAGAAATTTAATATTTATCTTTATTTTTACATAAAAAATAATCATTTTAAATTTAATATAGCTTACAAATAAAAGAAAACCAAAATTTAAAAATAAAATTAACATACTTGTTACTGTTTGAAAAATATATTATTGAACGATTTCTGTGACATTGAATAAATTTACATTCAGAACGAATAAACGCCTCCCGATTATTTCTATTAAAATAAAAAATGTAAAACTAAATATGTTCATTTGAAATCATATTGCATACATAATATATTTTTAATCAAAAAACACTTTTATCCTTTATCCAATCAACCATAATTTTCATTCATGCATGTTGCCAAGGATGTTAATAATAAGTCAAATTTCATAAAAATTTAAGAAAAATATGCACAAGACGGAAAATCTCACAATATGCTCAAAACTAAGGATGTAAAATTGTTCTAAGAACAATGTTTTCTTGAAAATGGTGTGGCCAAGTGGTCTGGGCATCGGATCATGGCTAGCGTGTCATGAGTTCAATCCCAGTACCACTAAAAGATCCGCCGTGTAGGGGTATGATGCACGTTAAATCTGTCGAGAGCTCAAACGTCCTCCCGTTGGTGTGGTATAGTAGTTAGGAGAGGGGGGTGCCAGCTCAGGTGTCGTCCGCGTCACTTGACCATGGTTCAAAATTACGCGGACCGTCGCCAAAAGCCCTCGTGTTGCTAATCAGTGCGACGTTAATATTCACTCACTCACTATTCTTGAAAATGGTGGAAGCACTTTTACAATTGAATTTTGAAATAGTGATTGAAACAATTTTAGTACACAATTCAGAAATTTCAAAACACTTTGGATAAATATAAAGGTGTATTCAGTTGCAAATTTTACAGTAATTCACATCGAAATATTTTTTTTAAAAAACTAACGAGAAACACAAATAAGATTTAGCCAAAAAATAGCAAATGCTTCCAGATCACTTTATTCAGAAAATTTTCCAACTGTTATTAAAAATGTAGTTCTCAACTCATGAAAATATTCAGGCATTACAATAAATCAGTGCTAAACTATGATAAAAGAAACAAACTGAAAGAAACTTCTATTAAATGATAAAAAAATCAAATTATATATATTTTTTAAATTTATCTGTCCACATTTTTAACGTTTTATTGTCTATTACTTTTTCTACAGCTTTAACATTAAAAGAGACAAAATTTTATAGAAAGAAGATAAAAAAAGTAAATTGTAAATTAATACAATTGTGATTCAGTTGTGCTTTTAAAAAGAATATGTTAAAATTAAAGGTTATGCATTGTGATTACGAATTAAAAATAATTACCAGAAATAATCCAAACATAATTTTGAATACTATTTCCTCCATTACTTTAACAAAAAAATTTCCAAAATCCAAAAAAAAAAAAAAAAAAATTTAATAATATTTTTAAAAAAATTCATATATGAAAAACACCACAATATTCTTAAAAAGTTGTTCTTAAATTATTTAATTTACAGTAATAAAAAAAATCTCAAAAGAAATCCCCTGCTGAGTATCAATTTAATTAGCAAATCATTATTTATCAGAAGAGATCATAAAATCTTTTATAAAGAGATATATTTATTAAAAATATCATTACAATGTGTAGCATAAATTTGATAAATTGTACACATATTAAATGTTTTAAAAGATATGTTCGAAAAAATCAAAATTTATTATTTAATTTAAAATAAAATAAATTCCAGAGAACACAAAACTAATTATTACATTGATTTTTAGCAAGATAAAAAAAATATTACATACATGAAAATATGTTTACTCTTTAATTATATTTCAACGTGCTTGAAAAATAAAAAAGCTTGATTTTATAAAAAATGAGACATTAACAAATAAAAATCAAACATGTGACATCTTCAGATAAAAAGGAAGGAAAATTATAAGGCCATAAGGTTTCCAAGATTAATTAAGAGGATTTTAAACACAATAATGCACAACAATAAAATTAAAGTATTTTTAATATGATTAAGTTAAATCATTGATTAATTATACACAAACAAAATTTAATTAAGAAATATTTTATTGTCATATATACATTTCAAAATATTTATGACTGTACATTTAATGTATCAAAATTAATTCATAATATATTATAAGCCTCTGAACTGCAAAAAAAACATTCAACATAATTAAAAATTTAAATATGGATTCACGTATATAAAATAACTCAATATAAATTATGCAAATTAAAAAATTTTAAATAAAAGTCATTTGAAAGCGCATTGAAATAATAAAAAAAAATTTTAATTGTTCTTCTTGATTACATTTATTCTGAGGTTACATAAATGAGTTCATTCATATGAAAGATTCATGTTTCACATTATTTGTATCATTTGTTTCAGAATAGAATTTACAAGTCATCTTAAGAATAATATTTCAGAAACTGTCCTTCCTACAAATTTAGCAACACAAATGAAAAAAATTTGCAAATCCTCCATCAATCAATAACATGTTAGAATAAGTAAAAAATGTATAGGGTAAGATTTTGAGCTCACTTGAGTAATATATTTATCTACCAGTTGGAAATCTGAACAAAATACAATAAAACATTTTCTAAACTTATAGAGACAGATTCACAGCTAAGAAAAAAATTGATACTAAAAGAAAATTTAAGCAGAACTTTTGGTAAAGAATTTATTGGAATGTAATGAATAAAACAGCACCAACAACATTGTTCGCATATGCTACAAATATAAAAAAACAACATCTCTGACAAACAGTAGAATATATACTTTTATGTGTTACTTGTCACTAATTCAAACATATTAATAACAAGTGAAACATACCATTAAATGAAATAAAAAAATTTTAAGAAAGGAATTATGTGAACCATATATATATTCAGAAATATATATTTTCTCATTCTGATAGAATAAACCATACAATTTAAATGACAAAAACTTACAAATATTTATGGCACAGCATCATTAGGTATTCATTAAATATAAGAATTACACACAGACTTGTTTAAAACATACACATATCTACAGTACGCAGTTGTGAAAGCAAAGTATTCCATTT